AAAGAAAGAAAGAAAGAAAGAAAGAAAGAAAGAAAGAAAGAAAGAAAGAAAGAAAGAAAGAAAGAAAGAAAGAAAGAAAGAAAGAAAGAAAGAAAGAGAAAGAAAGAAAACAGGGCTTCACACACACACAGCCATTCCACCTCAGCTGCATTCTCAATGTCCATTTTGTCTGTTTTATATATTTGGCTTCCTAGAGGTATTATTTCAGCCAAGGTTTGCTGGCAAAGAAAAGAAAGAAGACTGGGAAACCCCTGTGTCCAGCCATCAGGAGCATCCTCTGCAGGAGAGAGGTGTACCCAGTGCTCACACGGCAAGGCACTGTGCATGCAGAAGAAACGTACCAGGATGTGGACCAGCCGCAGCTCCTCTGGGTTCTGACACTTCTCTCGGAGACCCTCTTCCACACAGGGGTCTGAGGGTGCAGGCTCGAAGCCACAGCAGTAGCGATCCAGGCGGTCATGGACCTGCAGGGAAGGCTGGCATGGTACCGGTCTTCTCCAGACCCAGTATCAAGGCCATTTGGCCTGCTGGGCCCCACACCAGCCCAGGGCTGCCTGGGGACAGAATTCAGGGGCTCTCTGTACTAGTGAGCCCTGCTCTAGCCTACAGCTAGGAGGAGGAATCGGCCCTAATTCTTTTAAGCCTAGAGCTCATGCCAATATCCTAAAGATGAGTTTGGGGTCACAGGACCCCCATCCGCTCCTCTCTGCTTCCTCTGCTTGTCACCACTACTCATCTCTTTATGTTGGCATGTTAGGAAGGATGGCCAAGCCTAGTCCATTAAGTCTGCTAGAGCCAGGCTTCTGTCCTGAAACTCCAGGACCCAGCCCTGACCCCAGAGTGTCAGAATGAGTTGATGGGCAGCAGGTTGGTGTCAGAGTTAGCCAGTGTATAAAGGACTGTCACTCAGATGACCAGTGGTCACTGCCACCTCTGCCTCCTTCCCTCCTCACTTCAGACTGTATCATCCCAAGCTCAGACACATCTGGAGTCATAGGAGAACACATACGGATGGGATTTGAAGTTGACATTGTTGAGGCACAGGTTGGGTCCCCCATTTGTGGACAAGGAGGGCTGCATGTGGGGGGGGGTTAGGATGGTGGTACCCACAAAAGCTGAACCAGGTCTCTAGCCTGGCTGACTGGCAGCAACAACAGATGGTAGCTGTGGACCTGCGGCCACCACCTGTGCCTTTGCTGCCTCCACAGTCACAGGGTGATGGTCCTTCACCTGAACAAGACTAAGACCAAAACAATCAACCCACGGTGAGCAATGATCTCTGTGTGTGGCTCATACTTGCCACTCTTCAAGAAGGGCAGTATCCCGGAGAGGGTGTGGGCCGTGGGCATGTGTGAGCCCATGCCTGATCAGACGCACCCAGACTTCCTGCACGGGAGCCCCTTCCCTGCTGTGTCTGCTGCCTCACCATTGAGGTCCCCTAGACTGTCAGTCACACAGTGCAGATGGACCCAGCCTCCCTGCTCCTTTCCCTCCTCCCTGGTTCCCTGGGCTCCCTGGAGCCTCATTCTTTGTTCTCTGACATTTTTTCCCTCCTTGCTGAAGTCAAGCCTCTGTGCTTCAGAATGTGACTCTCAGTGCCATGCTCTCGGGGCTTCTGACTCCCAGGGCTGTGCTCCCAGGGCAGTGCTCCCTGGGCTTCTGACTCCCTGGGCTTCTGACTCAGGGCTGTGCTCCCTGAGCTTCTGACTCAGGGCTGTGCTCCCTGAGCTTCTGACTCCCAGGGCTGTGCTCCCTGAGCTTCTGACTCCCAGGGCTGTGCTCCCTGGGCTGTGCTCCCTGAGCTTCTGACTCAGGGCTGTGCTCCCTGAGCTTCTGACTCCCAGGGCTGTGCTCCCTGAGCTTCTGACTCTCGGGGCTGTGCTCCCCGGGCTTCTGACTCCCAGGGCTGTGCTCCCTGACCTTCTGACTCCCAGGGCTGTGCTCCCTGAGCTTCTGACTCTCGGGGCTGTGCTCCCTGAGCTTCTGACTCCCTGGGCTTCTGACTCAGGGCTGTGCTCCCCGGGCTTCTGACCCTCAGGGCTGTGCTCCCTGGGCTTCTGACTCGCAGGGCTGTGCTGTGCTCCCTGAGCTTCTGACTCAGGGCTGTGCTCCCTGGGCTTCTGACTCAGGGCTGTGCTCCCTGACTCTCAGGGCTGTGCTCCCTGGGCTTCTGACTCAGGGCTGTGC